TTATCTTTAGCACGGTTCTGATTATTTCACACTCAGTAAACCCTTCTTGTAACCCCTCATCAATTTGTTTGCACAGACTACTGTAGGACATATCCGAGCCAAGATCTGAAATTTGTCCACCATGCAACTTGAATTCTCTGCGTGGAAACAAAGCTGCCGCATCACTGAGACTCAAAACTTGGTCATATCTTCTGGACGGACGACTCACCCTGCCAGGGGAAACCCCAGCGACACTAGGCGCCGGTGACACTGAAGTTGGGATGTTGAAGTTCTTGGTGGGCGTATCAGTGTCTCTTAGCATGGATGAGGGACAGGTGGAGATGTCTCTGTCCTGCGGTAGAATGGGCTGTGTGTGAGAGTCTGTGTTAGGGTGTGATGGTGAAGTGGGGATGTGGTCAGCTGGCATAGCCAGATGTCTGTCAGGATGTGTGGGGTCAGTGTGGGGTGAAGTAGGGCACTCCTGCTGCTGGTTAGGAATATCTTCCATCTCAAGCGGCACGGCCAGATGATCTGCAGCCCCTCCGACGTCCGTTGACAGCAGGTCACTCACGATGTCGTCGAGGAGCATACCTTCATCCTCCAACGCTCTCAACTTTTCACCTCTGATGTACTCAACGATCAGGTCATACAGTTCTGGTTCACTTAAGCCATCAAGATTGCGAGTCATGCTGCCATCCTCCACTGAAGAAACAACAGTGCGCAGCTGGCTCACACTCAAATCACAAAGTCTTTTCTGGATCTTTACTATCAACAACCGCCGTGGGGTAACAGTGGCCATCTTGACGTTTTGACTGTGACCTGGGCTCCCTGCATGACACACTCAATGCAGCCTTCCCTGGACACCAGTTCTGGTTGTTTGGCACACACGTCACCACTAGACGATCCCGGACGAGCCCCCAGTTGTTACCGGCACCAGACCTAAGGGAATCTGGACCGGCAGCAAGCAGCACACAGGCTAGAGAGCACTGCGTAGCCAAATATGAGCAACTGTGGATTAATAGAGAGGACACCAAAGTTAGCGTCTTGCTCAGGCCGGAGCTAATTTATTTCTGCAACATATACACAATACAAATGCATTCTTCCCATAAAATAACAGAGTTCATAAACAAAAACAAAGTTACAAAAAGCATTCTCTCAAAAGCAAAATAAATACAAACTAATTCAAAATGACTTTACATACTCACAACTTAAACAAAACACTTACGGCTAAAGCATAACAACATACCAAAATAACCCATCTCACATTCACACAACCTGTCCCCACATTCGCGCCATATACGCTATTACTTTTGAACATGGCGTCCCCTGAACGCAACACAACATGGCGGCATTATGCCATCTACTGGCATAATGAATTATAACCATGGTCTGGCAACACATAACAATGTCAAAATAAGTCACAATAATAAA